GCAAGTTTTTTCAATTCGCTGACGTATTCGGGAACACTCTCATTTGGCTTTCTAGTACGAGTGTGAAACTTATAACGCTCTACTGTGACTGAGCAAGTAGGTTCATAGTGATTCTTTAATGCACTTACCAGGTCGTTGTACGACTTGTCTGTAGGTTTAGCGGGCGAAACCAGGTTTCTCAGTAGACTGTAGGTTTCCTGGCCTATAACACTAAGTAGTATTGCTCTCCGTTTGTCTGCTCTTCGTTTTACAGCGTTAGCATTTGAGCCATCTTCAGCGGGTGGAATTTCGTCCAAGTCRTTAGCAGCGAAATAAATTTCCAATCTTTCTACGTACAGCTCCCAATTATCTTTCTTTCCTGTAAAACTTTCAATTTTGCTATAATGCGCCATCCTCGTCGCCAATTGTAGTGTATCAAGCCAGAAAACAGAGCGGATTCATAGAGCCTTGCATTTATTCCTGAGTTTACATCCAACTAACTCTTGCACAATTTCACATAACATTTATACTAGAATAATTAATTACACGGACGAATGTATTCCCTAGTGGATACATAGCAGCAATGACACAGGGATCCCATTTGGAATTGTCTGATTTACGGTTAGAAAGAATATCACATGACAAGAAGGTTGCCGATTGAACTTCCGGTGTCCCAAACGCGACATGACACATAGATTGACAAAAAGGTAAATCTAAAGTCGGCCTAGCCTCTATCTAGCCCGACTAATCAGCGATATGAATGACACTCGTGTTTTGCAATTCCAAGCAACAATCCTTTGTTTGACATCATAAAATGTTGCAAAAATGCAAAAACTAAGGGATTGACTTTTTCAATCTTAAAACTGTCAATATTTCAAAAGTGAAGTTGACTTGACTATGAGAGAGGTGACGCTCGCGTCAAATTAAAGTTGTTCAAGATCAAAATTTTGGCAGGAAGCCTGGTCACAGACTAGTTTTTGCACAGGGGGCCCTAGGCTCAGTCTCCAGGGCATGGGGTTCGAAACGTGTCGCGCATGTCCGTGACGTTTTTGTGTAATTAGCATATTATGATGTAACGGAAGTGAATTTTTCAGTGAACGGAAGTGAAATATCTGACAACAGCCGTAAAGGTTTTGCTACAAGGCGGGAAATTATGTGAAATGAAAACTTCGCGAAGTAGCGATRTAATGTAATAGTTAGCGCTTTAAAAAAGAGAAAGGAATGGAAATTACCCCAAGTAAAACATGTGCAGGGTTTAATAATCCAAATGGATGTATTATCTGCCAGAAAAACGAGCAAAATACACTAGTGGCGCTGTTTGAAAAATAAGAGATTTGCCCGAGCCAGTATAGGAAGAATAACAAGGACATCTTTTCCAAGAACAATCTCTTTAAGAGCCTTTTGCTGTATTTCTCTACATTCGTCCAAGCTAAACGACATCTGAGCCTTCAAACAAGCACTTTCAAAGAGAATCTCAAACGACGAATTGTACGCCATTTTGTTACACTGCTGCCTGCTAATTTATTAATGATGTGCCCCTGAAAATATCGGGGGCCACTCGCTGATTGGTCAAGACTGACAATAGCGAACCCCATGCGCCCAGCCGTCAGGGGAGAGAGTATCGCGGGCGCACGAAATCCCGACGGCTGGAGACTGAGCCTAAGGGGGCCCTGGCTCAACAGTTGTGTTGCTTTCACGGCGGTGTCAAAGTATTAATTGCGTGGTTCTCGGTTCGAGCCCTCCGTGAAGCCGTATTTTTTTCTACTTCATTTCTTGAGACTTTTCAAGACTTTCTCTTTCTTTTCTTTTTTTTAATAAGTATAAACAGTTTTATGAATAAAGATTGATTTTTAAAGCCATTTTTATAT